TAATATGGTGTTTCATTATTCGGGAACGAAAAACACAAACACGAGGTGAGACACAACATTTGGCGACGAGGAAAAGTTAGTTTATTGGAATAAATTAAGTAAGTACCTAAATATTATAATTCTAAGAGATAATAATATCAAGAGTGACAATGGATGACATTTAATTACATACAGGTTTAGAAACCAGTGATGTATGGATACTGGGTTAAGACCTGGTGAAAGGTTTAAGGGTTTAAAAGCCAACATATGCATTTTGTTTAGATTCATAGAATCACAATAAGGTTTAGAAACCATGGATTAAAAAACCATATGCATGAACATATATAAACTACATGAGGTTAAGACCTATGTATATGTATATATGCAAATACGTAAAAGCTGATATTATAGTATTGGGTTAAGACCTAGTAAAAGTGCAAGGGTTTAAAAACCCGACAAATGTTTCTTGTTAAGAAGATACATGGAAGCACAAGGAGGTTTAGAAACCATAGTTTAAAAACCATATGAATATATATATATATATATATATATATATATATATATATATATATATATATATATATATATATATATATATATATATATATATATATATATATATATATATATATATATATATATATATATATATGATGACACTATATTCCGGGATATCATCCGTTCGCTCGTTGAACTGGAATCCTGCATCCGACTGGAATCGCGCTCCGAAGTGTTCGAAGTGTTTTCGGAGCGCGAGCATTGAAGATGCCAAGTGAGATTTTGGCGAAACGTCTGCAGGATTCCAGTCGGATGCAGGATTTGCAGGATTCCAGTCGGATGCAGAATTCCAGTCGGAGTTCAACGAGCGAACGGATGATATCCCGGAATATAGTGTCATCACATTTTTCCATCCGTGAATCAATACGTGAGAATATATATATATATATATATATATATATATATATATATATATATATATATATATATATATATATATATATATATTGAAATTATCACCGGCGCAAGGGACAGTATCTTTAAGAAAAAAAAGACTGGGAGCTAACAAGAACCCTGTCTACTGGTGGACATCACAGATAACTTAGAAAGGAATGTCTGCTTAAAAAGCGTACCATGACTCTAAAAAACAAATTGTCACATATTACTGACGAAGAAAAAAAATCGGCAATAGTAGAGTATCGAGAAACCCGCGCAAGCCTGAAAAAAGCTATCCGGGAAGCCAAAAAAGAGGCCTGGAAGAGAGTAGTGGATGATGTGGAAAATGACATCTGGGACATAGGTTAATAAAATAGCTACCAAAGCATTATGCTTAAACCATCTCTCCAAAAATTTGGAAAAAGGCAAGGTTAGTTCTTATAGAAAAGTCTCAGAAACAAATGGAAGTTAAATCGTATCGTCCGATTTGTTTGATGGACGGTATGGGGAAAGTCCTAGTTCTTATAGAAAAGTCTCAGAAACAAATGGAAGTTAAATCGTATCGTCCGATTTGTTTGGTGGACGGTATGGGGAAAGTCCTGGAGCACTTGCTAAAGGAAAGGTTAAATACAGAAATAACGAGAAAAGGGTGACTGGCCAAGCTACGGTTCGGATTTACCAAAGGTAATTCAACAGTCGACGCTGTGAACGTCGTGCTACAGGAAGCAAAAAATGCAAAGACATTCGCTTGGAAAAATAGAAAATTATGCCTCCTTGTCACGATGGATGTAAGAAACGCATTTATTTCTGCGCCGTGGCCTGGAATTGTGGACACTCTTAAAAACCAAAATGTAGCGCCTTACCTGGTACGCATAATTACAAGCTACTTTAAGGATCGGGGGCTGATGGTTGGCAATAGCCATACCATGGAGGTGACCTGTGGGGTCCCACAAGAATCTGTACTGGGGCCGACTCTATGGAACTCAGACTCGAAATGCCGGAACACGTGAAAATAGTAGTTTAAAGAAGATGAATTTAGAATTAGCGCCTGACAAGACAGAAGCAGTGCTAATGATTGATTCCAAAACTGTGAAAACAATCACAATTGAAATCATGGATACCAATATTGCCACAAAATCCGATACTAAATACCTAGGCGTGCATATTGATTAAGGTACTACAATGAAACGGCACATCGTCAACGCACGCTAAAAAGCAGAAACCTCAGCTACTGCCTTAATGCCAAGACTAAAAGGACCAACATCTACGAAGAGAAGATTATTGAGTTCAGTGGCTCATTCCATCCTACTTTATTCTTGGTCTATCGCTCTAAAACACAGGAAATGCACAAATATGATGCTAAAGATTCAAAGGAAAATGGCTATTCGAATATGTAGTGCATTCAGAACGGTGTCAGCTAGTGCGGTGCTACTATTGGCAAACATAATCCCAAAAGATTTGCAGGTGAAAGAAAGGGAGAAAACGTCCGGGAAAGATAGGGGGTTAAAGAGAACCGCAAGAGCAACATCTCTTGAACATTGGCAAAGACGGTGGTCGGAATCGACCAGCAGTGGTCAATGGACCCAAAGTCTAATCCCTAATATAATACCTTGGTGTAACAGAAAACATGGAACTCTTAACTACTATCTCACCCAGCTCCTCTCAGGACATGGTTGCTACATGGCTTATTTCTATCGCTTTGAGATAAGGGACGCACCAACCTGCCTGTACTGAGGTGATACAGAAGACAGCGCTGAACACACATTCTTCGTTTGTCCGAGGTGGTGTGAAGAGCGGAGAAAAGTTGAGAAACAAAGTGGCAGAATGCTAGATTGCGAGGAAGTCTGGAATAACGTGTCCGAAATGACCAAAAGAATTCTCGTACAAAAGGAAATAGAGGAACATCAAAGGAAAAAATGAACTGGCCCAAGCAGCATGATGAAGTAGTAACACCTAAGGGTGGTTCCGTCATGTTGTTTCTTTGATTAAACGGGGAGGGGTTTTCAGTCGGTAAGAATCCGGCATACCCCTCACATCAGCATCATCATCAACTATATTTAATGTTTGGTTAGTTTTGGTTTCATTTTGTTTTGAATTGTTTCAGTATGCCAATACCCATTTTGCACTTTGGCTTGCAGCTTAACTGACAGGCAAATCTTCTTAAAACATCGTGGGTTAATTATATTTTCCAATTACGACCAGCTTTCTTTTTTCTCTCCCACTTATTGGCAGCTACTAACACTGTTTTGCTTTCTTTCTGAAAGTTTTCTCCCCACACACTTTTCGCTTTGAAATTTATGCGTTTTGTCTGGCGTCATTTTATAAAAAATACCATAGTACTTTCCTGCTAGTTTTGGCCACGTCTTCTCCAGCCAATCGTTAGTACACATAATATATATACATAATATAGTATACATAATATACGTTATACATTATATATAATCGTGGATACAGTCGACGGTGTAAATCCGTATTGACATCCCGCATCACTTTTATTAAAGCAACCTTATCATCTAATTATAACATTTGTCGCTGACTGGCCATGTTTACCATATTACCACTAATCCAAATTATAACTGATTGTAACAATATTGTGCCGAGAAAGGGATCAACATACACAACAGGTTCTCGGAAATTAGATTATTAGGGTAAGGAATTCCAAGACGGTAAGATATTCTATTAATTACAAGTAGGATTATATTAATTACTTTGTTACTTGATGTGCCCTTTTGTCTTTCGTTATAGGGAGTGAGAAATTCGTTATGCAGAGTGTATTAATACATAGCTTTGTATGGAGACCTAACGGTACAACATATTTTGTTCGTAATACAGCGTTTTACGTTTCGCTATAGGGAGTTTTCATTCTATTAAAATGCGTGAACAACGCACAACAGTGTAAACAAATTATATTATTATATGATTCATTTGGAAAAAGGGAAACTTTCCAATTTTCTTGATACATGGCATGAATTCGTGTCCGTATGCTACGCTGCTGTGCTTAAAAAAAGGATGTTCAGTGTGTTGTGATATGACTGACCTAAACTCTAACTTAATGTTCAAGATCGGTTTTGATGCCTCCATGAATATCCTTATGCACGGATCTTGGAGAAATATCCGATTCATCGGCAACACGCTACAATAAGACATAATAAGTACCTCCGTACCGTAATTTTCGGACTGAAAGAAATAAGAAAAATATGCGAGCTTTGTATTCGAGAAAATGGTCTTCAATGTGTGCAACAACAGTTTTAAATAAAATGTTATAGTGGACTATAATAAGTTGAAAATTATTATTATTATTGGTTAGTTAGTTTATTATTGCTTGGTATCATCCGCATATCATATTACGTTTTCTTCTTCTGACTTTCTTACAAAATACAAGTCATCCACAAAAATGGTAAATTAAATTGGAATAAGAATATTATATTGTGCTATGCCGTGAGTATTGTTCTTACACCGTATTATTTTGTTTAGAGCTAAAGCTATTTCATATTAGTTCGAGAGGATTCCATTTTCGGAGGAGTCATTAATAAAAGGACATGACACTTTACTCAAATATGGAACAGAAATTTTTATTATACTGGTTGAAATGTCGTCGATTCCACTGCTTGGTTTGTTGTAATTTATCCAGCGAAATTATAAATTTCTTCTGTTGTTACTGGTCTTAAAAACATAGATTGATATTTTATTTAATTATTTACCTTAACATAGATTGATATTTTATTTAATTATTTACTTAATTATTCATGGAAAAACGTTTAAATTTTAAAACCTTTCCAACTGTTTCTAGATAAAATCTCATTGTATATTGACCAGATGCTTTTGGTTTTATTATCGGAAGAAAGCTTTAGCCTAATGTCATACTCCCGAGATCGTTCACCTTTCAAATGATTGTCATATTTTCAATTAACAACTTTTTTTCAACAGAGAATTGAGTAAACAGTGTACAAAACGAATTTAATTATTTATTTTATAAAGGTTTGCTCATTTTAAGGACCATTTTTTTCAAAATAAATCAGAACTAAACTAAAAGTTCAGATATTTACGAAATTATATATATACAAACTACCATTTTTTTATGGTTTCAGTTCGAAAGCGGATTTCCGATTTCGCCGTTCTTGTGTCTCGTCTATCTGTTCGTGCAGACATTCGTCCTGGGCTGGAGCGCCAACGAAATCCAAGTCCAGGTGAAATAGCTAGCGATCCCTTTTGTTGTTCCGTTTAGTACAAAAATGAAACAATAAAAGTGAACGTACTAAAATCGGAACGAAGTGCACTTTAATAATGTAAATAAAGAGAAAGCAAAAGCGAAGATGAACAAAATCATATCGATAAGGAAATAAAAGATGTTTGGAAACTACTGTTTGTGTCCAATATTTTCTATTATGTAAAATAAGGCAGCGAATAGAAAATAAAGCTTCGGAAAGTTGTAGTTGCGTTTTTGTAAAAAAACTAAAAGATGGTTTTGAGCTAAGGCGCTAAAATTCTACTGAAAAAACTTGTTAATAATTAGTGCAAGCTCAAATTAATTAAAAGGTTAATAATAATTATCTTTATTTTCCAAATCGACAAATACAAAGTTTGTAAAGGAAATTATCAAAAAAATATAAAATAAAATTACTCATAATCCAAGACTACAAACAGTAATATTTCAACAAAGAAGGAAAAAGGCTAACTAAAATACTCTTCTACTCATTACATTCATTTAAGATATTCTTTCAAAATTATTTTAAATGCACCTAAATTATTACACATTTTTATTTCTTTCGGTAAGGGGTTGAAAAATAACACACCACTTACACTTGGGATTCTATAATAACTATTATATTTTCCATAAGGAAGTCTAAAGTCGTCTTTAGATCTTGTATCCACTAAGTGGAAATTACTGTTCAAAAACCTGGTTTATTTTGAAACACATAGACACACGTTTGAACCACATATAGACTATACAATGTTAAAATATTAAATTTTCTAAAATAAGATTTAGAAGAAGTAGATGTCAAAATAACGACCGTATAGCCATTTTGCCGAATCCGTCGACCATCCCCATAAAATTATATCATACCTAATTCCACTTTCAACATGAGCGTAATAAACACTTAATATTTGTGATTCTGTTAAAATATCCTTCAGGTTATGTAATAAATAGATGTTGGCTCCCAACCCCAATACAAATGAAGAGAGTTTTTTAATTCATGTTTTTGTCTATTTTATACATTAGCTTAACATATTGTTTCCTATAACATAAAAAAGACTTCGCAAATTTTAATGGAAGACCGCTTATACCATTGCAAGACATTCAATCACATGTCGTGATTTACACAATCGAATGCCCTGCTGAGGTCATAGAAGACCCCAACAGGACAGTCGCCGGACTCTATAGAATTAACAATACGCTCCAAGAATAACTGCTTGCATGGAGGATCTCGCACTTCAAAAACCAAACTAGTGATCGGATAATATTTTATTGTTTTCAAGATACAATAAAAGTCCATAAACCATAGTGACTGTAACTGGTCTCTAATTATTAATGTTCGTTTTACTAGCTTTTTATGTAATTGCAAAATCTTTCCAATTTTTTGGCTTGAAGAAAATCTTCCTTCACAAAAGGATAAATTTACTAGATGTGTAAATGGCTTTGCAATGAATATTAAGATCCGCTTGATCAAAAAATTCGAGATATCATCACACTCAACAGAACGCTTATTTTTCAGCTTTTTAATAAGTAAACTTCAAGGGAGTCCGAGAAATTTGCGAAAAAACAGGAGTTTTCGAGAAAATACTCTCACTACTACCCACCTGTGTTGTGACCACCTGGTGAATGGTTATAAATAGAATAATCCGCGTGAGTCCATATAGTTTTAATAAAAACATTGATTTAAAAGAAAAAACCCGTGACTTGCAAAGAGTCATCTGGGAAGCCTGTTTTATAACTAGAAAAAAGTAGCGCCCGCATTGAAAATAACCATTTCAAGGATGAGTTTGGAAGATGAATGTAGGACCGACGAAGGAAAGAGGAAGAAAAATACTGGAAAACTGGAAAGTGTTTTTGGTAAAATCTCCAAAGTCGCAAGAACGCCGAAAAAAAGTAATAAGCAACAAGTTGACAAATTACAACTTTTTATGGATATGATATAAACGCATGAATATTGATCTTAAAAAATAATTACTAGAAGTAAAACAGAACGATTACAGAGAAGAATATTTAGAGTTCAAGAGAGAAAACAAAAAACTTAAAGAGGGACGACAGGAAGTGAAAAGCAGAAAAGTAGTGCAGGGACTGCTAATAACCACTAACATTGATACAAAAATCTCGGAAGGACTGCAAACATTCTTAAGAAATAAAGTAGATATAGAAGTCAGCATAAGATCTACTAGGAAAATAAATTTAGGCTCAGAGGCATTAACGAAGAGGGAGCTAATAAAATAATTGAAGAATGAAGGATATCATGGATATAGTGGGAGTGCAAAAAACACACACTAAAGAAACAGGAATACTAGACGCAGAGGACTAGATATTCTTTAGGAGTGGTCGTCATAAAGGAAATTTGAAAGTGGTATTCTTAATAAATAAAAAATGAAAACACGATATAAATAGTTTTGAAGCAACATCACACAGAATGTGCATCCTGAAGCCAAAAAGTAAATCCAAGATTTTGACCTTAATAAATATACATGCGCACACGGACGAAAAAGAAGAGGAGACATATTCTATGAATTACTGGAGAACAAAATTGATAGCACCCCTCGCAAAAACATACTGATAATTCGCGGAGACACTAATGCGAAAGTAGGAAACGATGGCATCTACCAAAGGATAACGGGAGGAATTAGCAAACCCCCAGAAAATAATAACAACAGGGTAAGGCTAATCATCACACAAGCTATACAAAAAGGCCTAAAGGTAATGAGCACGTACTTCCCTAGAAAATAAATACATAAAGGGTACAAAGGGATCGAACCAAGTATACCATTTGCTGATTAAAACTGAACAAGCAAAACTTGTAAAGAATGTTAGTCTATACCGAGGAACAGACCACTTTCTGTTAGGAATACGGATGATATATTCAAAAACAACGGTAACAAAAACACAGAGTAAAAAGTATAACGTAAAATATAATTTAGACGTCTCACAAAATCCAAGTACTTCAAAAAAATATATGATCGACGTAGAACAACAAGCACGAAACAAAGGGCAGTACAATTGAAGAAAGATGGAATAATATAATAGAATATATAATAGTAGCTACGAAAAGAGATATATACGAAAAAAAAATGTCTCAGAAGAAGTCGTGGTGAGACGGAAACTGCGATGAATGGATGTATCTTAAGCAAAAGGTCAGAAAAAAATTTTACGCAATGCGTCTGAGCAAAACAAAATAGAGTATAACAACCAAAGAATAAAAGTTAAAACAATTTTAAGGGAAAAAATGGAGCTCACAAGAATAACCAAATAAAAGATATGGAAACAAAATACATTAACAAGGAAATTAGAAATTTTTGCAGAGATGTAAAAAACTAAAGCCTGCCACCACACATAAGCAGTAAGAATGGTGCCTTAATCGGCGACGAAGAAAGGTGGAAAGAATTTTTTAAGAAATATAACAGGACTCGAAAATACCACCAAAAACGGCGGAGACTTTTGGGCTCCAATTTAACCTGCATCAAATCAAATGGTACAGGGAACAAAAGCAAACGAAACTTACAGGTACAAGTGGGGACTAACAAGATATATGAATTTGAAGAGGTAGATAACTATATGTATTTGGGAGTACTAATAACTAACAAATGTGAAGAGGTCAAGGAAGCCCTATTACATGTGCGAGCTCCACAAAATTCTAATGTCAAAGTAGGTCTCGAGGGCAACAAAAATCAGACTCTACAAACCCGTGGTCCGACTAACTTTAACTTACTGTTGTAAAACATGGGCCGTCAATAAAAAAAAACAACCGAAACTAGGTATACGTATATATAGATATAAGAAAGGAAAAAAATAAAAATAGTGAACTCTACGAACTACTTCGAGATAAGCAAATCGAAAAATGTTTCCAAGCAAGGAGACTAGAATAGATAGAGCGCCTCTCCAGGATGGAAAATAATAGAGAAGGAAGGTCCATGGAAAAAACCAGAGGAGGGAGGAAGCGCGGTAGACCCAGAAGAAGAAGAGAAGCCGTGGAGGAAGATTTAAGAGAGAGGAGGATTATTAATATATATCAAGAGGTAGAAACGAATGGAGGAAAATTACACAGCTCTGAGTCTAAATGGCCTGGCAAAAAGCTGATATATTTAAATATAGCTCTTCAAGGAAGGGCATTAAAAAGTTAATATAAATTATTATGCTCAAGTTGAATATTATATACTTATGCTAACACCTTCCAAGTGGATTTTGTTATATTTTCAGAATTAGCAAATTTTTTAATTTTTTCTAGTAAATGCTTTGGTTTATATTTCTTACTAGCCTGTTATGCTTGATTTTAGCTAATCTATACCTGTCTCCTAAATTTTCATAGATTTTCTGTTGAAATAAAGGTTGGTTCCCTACTTGATTTTTTTTACATCATAGCACATTCAAGCTTTTTATTACACATATAAGATGGATAAGATGGACATTTAGCAAAACACATTTTAAAATTTGACAAAAACACTGAATCAAAATAGTCAAACACATTATCAAAGCTACTATACGTATTTTCAAAGTGATTGTTCAAAAGACCTTGTGGCCTCCTCCGAGAAAGATTTTCGGAACCTAACTACGTTATTCTGAATTGCACTTATATTATTGACAGAGCTTATTGAACGTGAAATTGCTCTGTGGTCTGACATTGTATTATCAGTTTGACATTGTATTATCAGTTTTTGATGCTAGAGAGGCAATTTTTCTATTTCCTTTCAGAGTCTGGCCTTGGGGGACGCCTTGTACGATTCGCCGTGGCACGAACAAAATGACCAAGCCAAGCGGTTAATACTGAGCATGATCATGCGATCGCAGCGACCCCTGGCGTTGACCATAGGACCATTTGACACGATGACCACAGCGTCCGCACTGAGGGTGAGCTTTTAAGTGCGGCACCAAAAACACTGTATGACCCCTTCTATTTCAGATAATGAAAGCTTCTTACTCTTACGTTTCCCTTATGATAAATTAATTTGGACGCGGTGCTGTTGTTAAATTACTTAAGTAAGTGGTTATTATAATTGGGCAATTTGTTAGAAGATTTTTTTTTCACTTAAAAAAACTTGTCCAAACAGAAAAATCAACTAAAGGTTGGTTTACAATAAAGCATTTGGTTTCAAACACTCAAAATGAACGAAGTATGTAGGTTATAAGGGCGTCATCAAATCCATATTGGAATACTCGTCCACCATGTGGAATCCGATCAATCGCAAGTATGTCGGTCAGATCGAGAGTTTTTCAAAGAAACTTCCACAGGCTACGGTATTACTTTTTACGCAACTTCTGGATTCCTCCTGCGTCGGTTTTTGCTAAGTCGCACTTGCTGACGTTTCGCCAATCATCCTGTTAGCTTCTTCACAGCTTGACTGAAACTGAAACTAAATTATAACCACCATTATTACAACTTTGCTATTTCCGGTCGGCAATGCATCAACCGGTATATAACTGAAATGTAAGAAAAATATTTTATTGTCAAAACTTGTGAAATTTAATGTTCAGTGATTCATTAAATTCTTACAACTTTTATTCATTCATTTCTGTTTACTTTATATGGCAAGTACTGTGGGCTTCACCATAAACGCCATTATTAAGCCACCAAGAATCCAATAACCTAATCGACAGATCAAGTGAGACACTAGGGAAATTGCCTGCCTAACTTCGACAATTCTTTGCAGATGTTGAATTTTCAGCCAGTGGTGCAAAGCGATCCTTGGTCAGTGACGTCGGATGATTTGTTCATTCATTCTCATGTGTTCCTTATGAAGTTAGGTGAATCACAAGGTTGCTATTTTTTGATGCAATGCATTGCTTGAAATTCCTTTTTTATTTTAAAATAAGAACTAACCAACAACATATATCGTCTGAACAGCGTCAAGGAATAACTTATAAAGAAAATTTGTCTTGAACAGCGGAACGCAGAAGGTGGTTTATGAAGTGGCACAATTTTTCACAACTATAAGTGCCATAACCTGACTAACTAAATAAGATTATTTCTCTGAAAACACTAAATCAAAATGAAAATAATGAAAAAGTGATTTTTTTCATTGCATACCTAAGTATCATAATCAATCTCGTATTTTATGTAGTAGAAATTCATCACTATTCATTACTGTAACCTGCAAGGTTCAACAAAACCTTTAAAAATTTTAAATATCATAAACCTTTTTGTGCACGCCACTGGTATGGATCATTAGATTTACAGTGATTCCATAATGCTGTTTAGATGATATCTGTTATTGTTCAATGCTGAATTTAATGTAAAAAATGGGATCGAATTAAAAGGACTTTTCTTCTTCTCCAAATTCTTCTCCAAAAAATTAACATTTTTCACTTCCTTACATTCACATCCTATATAAGGAGAATGGATTAACACAAACGAATCCGACACCACTGACGCATCGACCAAGGATTACGCTTTGCACCACAGGCAGTTTGGACGGTATTTATTATTGTCGTCTTCTGAATTCAAAATAAAAAGGAAATGACGATATTTCTACACCAACGCACGGTATCAAAAAATAGTAAACAAGAGGTGTTAAGCTGTGATTTAACCATTTTTTGAGAAACTTACAAAACGAGCGAAAAATAACAAAAAAAGATGTTATAAGAATTATGAAAATAGTTATATGCCCCAAACTACAAACGAAGCCCGAGGCTAAGCGAAGATAACGCCTCGCTGAAACCGCATCGAAAGCCTAATTTATTCGATTGTTTCATTGTAAAATTACTCTTAATTATTCCAGCCTTTGCATCGGCTGGTCTGAATAAAACGTTACATTGCTTTCTGTACAAATAAATTTTTTTAATGCGCTCTCCCGAATTTTGAACATTTAAGTGGCTCAGTCGAAACGGATTTTCTAAGTGCAGTAGTGGTGGACAACTAACCAGAATTTTCTGGGAGTTTCTTTGAAAACGCCCATGGTGGAATGTTCGAAAATTTTAGACATTCGCTACGTCGATTTTCAAATCCTTCAGCACACAGAACCAGCAGCACGGAAAGCAGAGGGACGGTCTATACAAAGGTACAACCCGCATGTAACGAGTTGGAAAATTGAGCCGGAACGGAGACCGAGAAATACGAAATCGTATTTCAAAACAATTCCAAATGCCTAGTTTTCAACAAAACATTTCAAAACATTTCCAAATACCCAACTTCCAACAAAACAATGTAAAACAACAACAAGCAAGAAGAATGTCGGATTTACTGGATTCACCATTTTTAGTAACTTCCACTTCGCCCATTAAGGTAGGATTGTAACCACTTAAGTGGATTACCCCTAACCCCATATCTTTCCAGTTTCTTTAACAGTAAATCTCAGTCCAGACAGTTATAGGCCTTGGTTAGATGCAAAAATATCCCCGTTGCTACTTCTCTTTTTTCAAAAAATTGCAACATTATTTTAATAAATTGGAAGATTGCTGTTTGAGTCTATTTTCCTTATAAAAATCCATGTTGACTATTGAGTAGTAACTTACAATTTGTTAGGAAGTTAATTAGGCGTTTATACATAGCCAGCTCAAAGAGTTTAGAGAATCCAGGCAATAAACTGATGGGCCTATAACTGTCCACGTCTTGAGGGTTACCCTTCTTAAATAATGGTTTCAGTAGTGATATTTTCAACTCGTCTGGAAATTCTCCATTTTTAAATGAATTATTAATTAAAAGGCACAATATGTCTTTTAATTCATTTACAGAATCTTTAATAATACTAGTTGGTATTTCGTCTATGCCGCTGCTATGTTTATTTTTTATTTCAGAGCCTAGCTGACAAATTTCTTTAGGAGTGACAGGTTTTAGGTACATTGACTGGTTCTTGGGTATTATACTGAATTGATATAGATTTAGTTTTATGTTTTTAAGAATATTGGGGACTATTGATGTTAGGTATTTATTATATTTGTTAGCTTTGTGCTCAGAATTCCCATCTAGTTGAATATCATCATTCCTAGTATTTTCTTTAATATGTTTAGTTATTGCCCACATACATATCATTTTATTATCAGATTTCATAATTCATAATTGATAGCTTTTTGTTTGAATATATTTTAGCTTACTGTCATATTTTTTTTTGTATGCTTGTTAGCATCTTTATATTTATTATTGTTGTTACTTACGGATATATATAAAGGCCCTAACAAACTTTCGGTAGTAATTGACTACTAAGTTTGGAAGGCCGGGACCATTTCAAAATGACGGAATCAAATTGGAGTTATTGCAATCGAGTTGAGCGGATCAGATCATTTTGGTACAGAAGATGGGAACTGCACAAACATCCGGCCCTGACCGCGCGCCCTGTCAAATAAATTGTTGGTTTGGTATACGTCACTTTTCTAACAGGAAACCGAAACTCGCTTTTTATAAACTTTATTTTTCCAAACCGCAGAAATTAATAGTTTACCGCAAGAGCGGATTCAACTGACTAACTAACAAAATAAATAAGAACTAAAAGTTCAGATTTTCACGAAATTTAATGCGATTAAAAGCTGACGCGACAAATCTAGCTGAGCATCTTCTTCCTATGGGTGTAGGAATGATTCGTGACATAGTTCATCCTGCCTCAGATTTAACTTCAAGAGTTAGCGTGGAAGTTGAAAATTGGCCAGCTCGATCACTGGTTCTGGTCTTCTTTCGGCTTCTTTGATATTCCTAACGTTGAGGAACTTATTTGCGTAGCAACCGGCGATAATGGTTATCCCGTAAATCGATAAAGTGCATAAGTTTGGAGACTCGACAAAACGATGTAGAGCTGATATTTCAGGCTGTTTCTGCACTACTTAGGATCCTATTGTATGCAGCTCGTCCAACTTGACGTCGTGAAGCTCTATGTTAATATCTGGTTGGATTGGTAGTTGGTTATTGACATCCCCAAATTTGTATTAACTGGCTAGTGCTGGTTAATTTTTCGGTTAAGAAAACCCGTTGGCTAAACGAAACCTTACAGTCTGTTGGTACATCAAACAAATTATCACCAGTCAGGATGAGAGTCTCTTCTTTATCATTCCAGACCAACTTAATTTCTTCTTTGATTGGAATCTTCCATACGTTGTAATTTTGGCTTAGTAACTATAATTTGAGTTTGTTGGCATGTGGAAGTGTTACTGGCTTCAAGTAGCTGTAACTCGCAGGGATTATTTTAAGCGATTTCTTGTAGGTTGGCTTCTCCGTATATATAATATTATGGTCAGATCTTTTTGCATTGACCGCTTTTAAATGTGTAGTGCAATTTATTGTTTAACTAGAATTTATTTCGCGGAACTATCGCTTTAAACTGGCTCTCATTAAAAATAGGTATTGAATACAAATGAAAACAACCAAAAATGTCGATTTGAGTAATCGGAAACTTTATAATATTTTCTTATCGTTGATATAACATTCGATATCGATTAAATTTTGAAATTTAAAAATATTTTCCGGAGTTACTGTTAATGGAAACTGTTTTTAATTTAAGTACTTTTCTACTCCGAGAAGTTCTTCAAATAGATCGCTTGTGTTCAGTTTTTATGTACTTATGAATGTGAGCCAATAGTGGCAACGCCGCACGACACCACAAAAAAGGGAAGAGTGAAAAACCGCGCGGACAGTGGCGAATAAACTCTTATGGAATTAGGTCGCAAAACGGGGGGATTGACCACATGTAATTTTTATTTAAATTGGTAGTGTAGAAGTCTATCTCTGTTCCTTTTGAAAATTAGTAAAAGCATGAGAAGTTCGCGTGGGTGTTATTTCAACATCAAGCAAGTGAGAAAACCCCAACACATTATTGGCGCCCGAACATCGGACAGACTTGGACATAAACGACGTATCAACCTGAGAATTGCAATCATCGACACTTGTTGCCTGTCAGACGAAAGCTAGAGCGATAATCAAGGTCAGTCCTTTCCAATACCTATCACTTACCCGAAATATTTTGCCTGCGCACGTAATTCGAAAAATAAATCTCAGACATTTGTCTCTCGTTCTGAATTGCAATCGCATTAAGTGGATTTACACGATTTCATTAGCTTTGTAGGCAAAAGTTTGAGGGTCTCGAATATAATAATCATAATAAAAAAAAAAAAAACTCGTAAACTTCCTATAATAAAGACACGTAATTTCAATTAATCACCGACACAAAAACAAACCTCGAGCAAAAACCTCTTCGAATTAGAATATCTATCTATTTCACGCCGGCACGATGTCAGATATAGGTGATAACGACTTACACGATTCAGAATTTGATTTAAATCGTTTAAAACACAGCAGAGCCCAAATCAAGGGAGAATTAACTCGCTTTAAAACTTTTTTAGCAAAAAGTAATATCGATCAATATATCTAACAATTACAATTAAGATTTGAATCAATAAAACCCACTTTAGAAAAATTTAAATCAATTCAAACTCAATTTGAAGAATTATTATTAAACGATTTTCCGGATAATTATGACGAAAATGACTGCATAATCAAACGCGAAGAATTTGAAACCCGCTAT